ACTTTACAATATTAAACAGAGTAGAAAAATTTATAATCAGTTTTAAGTAATTTTTTAATGATATTAATCATGGCAAAATACTTGGTGTTTGTCGAACTTCATTCTTAAATAATCATAGATACCTTTGAAGTAAAAACTTATTGGTTTCATTTTTAATATATGTTTTTTTAAAGTTTGCAATATATTGGTTTTCATGATGACAAATTTTTCAAAGTTACTTATATTACTTAAATTTAGCAGCAATAAATAGAAGATTCCAATTGAAGGAATGATGTGTCGAAAATGATAGAAGACTATCGTTAATTAATTGATTTCTTGTAAAACTAGAACTTTAATTAGTATATTTACATACATCAAAATATGCCAAGTCTTTAAGGTTTTCAAGCAAAAAAATCTTAAGAGACTAAGGTCGACGACATTTCTAGACTTTTACAACTCTAAAAATCTCTTCTCAAATCACTAAATTCGTTATGGTCTAATGATATAATCGAAGACTCGTAACATTCTATTGCGAGAACGAATTTATCATTTTGAAACCTATATGTGAATTCCAAGTAGATGATCAGTAATATATAATAAAGATATAACTTTTGACTTATCAAAAATGTTTCCTTGTTCATCATCAAACATAAGAATACATTTCATACTTTTGAAAAAATTCCAATTCTCATTTTAATTTATTAAATAAAAGTTCTAATATTTCAATTATTCTAGCCATTAAAGCTGGTTGTTATCATGCTGGACTATCAGCTCTTTCTCGTACTCAAGTTCATGAAAAATGGCTTAAAAATCAAGTTCATGTCATATGTGCAACAATAGCTTTCGGTTAGTTTTTCTAAATATCTATTCTATTTATTTATCTATAAATTTTCTAGGAATGGGTATCGATAAACCTGATGTACGTTTCGTTATTCATCATTCATTAAGTAAATCTATTGAAAACTTTTATCAAGAAAGTGGTCGAGCTGGTCGTGATGATCATCAATCACATTGTATTCTTTTCTTTCGGTAAAATCAACTAAATTATTTCTGAAAGATCTATATATATATATATTGGTTTTTTAAATAGATTTGGTGATGTATTTCGTTTAGCATCAATGGCATTTTCAGATAAATCAGGTAATGGTCTTACAAATCTTTATTCAATGATATCATATTGTTTAAATGAATCTGAATGTCGTCGAAAATTAATTGCTAAATATTTTGATGAAGTATGGCAATCAAATGATTGTAATCAAATGTGTGATGTATGTACTCGACCATTAACATATACAACAAAAAGAAATTGTCGTCCAGAAGTATCAATTATAATTGATTATTTAGAGAAAAATAAAAAACAACGTTTAACACCATTAAAATTAATTGATCAATTAACAATAAAAACAATGATTAAAATTGATATTCAACGACTTATTTTACAATTAATTATGGATCACTATTTAAAAGAAGATTTTCATTTTACACCATATACAACTATTTGTTATGTTATACCAGGACCAAAAGCACCATATGTTTATGATAATGATTGTGAAATTATGTTAGATATGATCGAAAGTACAAAAAAACGAACATCAAATACAATAAAAAATGATGAAAAACAAATTATTAAAAAGACTTCTATAACATCAATACATCCCGGTAGGATCAATTTTTCATAAATGAAAGATTTTCTTTTGTTATTCTGATTAAAAGTACCGATTATTAAATTGCAACAATGAATATTTAACGTTCAATAGATAAAAATATTTCGAATGTATTATTAATAATAGATCGTATAAATAAAATTTTTTCGTTTAGAAATATACAGAGTAAGCTTTGTTTCGTATCCTATGCTATAAATAAGAAATTCTCTAATCCTTTCCCTACCCTGCTGAGTAGAACTTACTTTTGTCTTTATAAACAGAATAATTTGAAATTATTTTACATTTTCTATTCATTTTATTCATATGATCTTAAAACAAAAATTTTCAGTGTTGTTATTCGTTTTGAAAATCGGAGCTTTTAATCAGAATTATTTTTATCCTGAATTTTCATATATTCTAGAACCGCGACCTAAATTACAATGGGCTACTAATTTAGATCCAAGAATAAAAACTGATTCCGGAAAAAAACGAACATTACAATACGATGATGATGATGATGGTGATAATCATAATGTGGAACAAATCGAAAATACACCATTATCAAAACGACAATCTACTTTAATAAATAATGATAATGAACCAATTATGTCTAATCAACAATCCGTAATTGATGATGAAGAACTTGATTTTTTATAAATTTGTTCTTTTGTTGTTGTTGTTATTTTTTTCTTTTTATATAAGTATATTCTGTCTATATTCTCAAATGTCAGATAGATATGAGTTCAATTCTATTTAAAAAAAAAAGTAAACACAAATTTTTAGTTTTCAGATGCCTATAGCGATGAACTTTGATTTATTAACAAATAATCATCATCAAGATCGATGCGAACATATAAATGAATGTGAAACAAATCTTGAAATAAAACTATCAAAATCACCATTATCAAATGGTACAAATCGGCAATCAACACCATTTACTGCACCACCACCACCACCACCACCACCACCTGTTAAACCACGTATACGTCCAATAGTAAATCGTATAACACGTAATATCGATTTAGAACAATTAAGTCGTTGTTCATCAACACATCAAATTAATTTACCTAAGGTTGAAAATGAAAAATGGTCAGCAATAGCTTCATCAAATGAATATATGTTAGTTGGTGGTGGTAGTTCAAGTACATTACGTCTTTTTGATTTACAAGGAAAACAAATACGTCTTATTGATATAAAAACATTTGCTGCATTTGATTTAGCATGGTCAAATGTTTTAAATGCATTTTTAATTGCTGGCTATGATCGTTTACAAATGTACAATGTGGAAAAAGATCAATTAACACATATAGAAAATATCAATTTAATGAATAAAAAAGATAATTATTTTTGGTCAATTGCTTGTCATGGGTTAGTAACTTATTTGAAATGAGTCTTTATCAAGGACTTTTTATTTTCGAACAAATGATCAATCACTTTTTACTGTGATCTATGTGCATCATGTAAACTCCAATGAAATATGAATATCTTGAAAAGAATTTCGGACTCTTAGCTTATTACTGCCAAGACACTGGTTTTTTACGATAATTTTAAATATAATACTGTAGCCGCCTCCCTAAGAAATGCTTGAAAAAATGATTTTCGAATTTCCATTGGACACTTTGCACCGAAACAGAAGTCTTTGAAAGAATAGCAGCTCATATACACCGCATATTCGAAGTTCTTATATCAGTATAAGAACAAAGAATAGATCTAAAAGTTTCGATGCAAAATTCGAAGATCATTTTTCCAAGTATTTCCGAAACGAACCGAAGCATTAATAAAAAATGTAATGCCTCGGTCGCAATATTGTAAAAGTTCGAATTTTTTTTCAAGTTATTCATATCTCATTGGAGTCTATGCTAATGTACATGGTTTCGACTCAAAAGCGATAAACCATAGAGAGAACTTCTTCCATTAAATTTAAGTACTTGTTTTTTAAATAATTTTTGTTTTCTTTGTAGTAATGATATATTTATTGTTTTATCCGATGGTCTTGAATCTGTATGGCGTTTATCATTACCAAGTTTTAAACGTATTCAAACATTATCTGGTAGTGAAATACGTGAAAGTAATTCAGATGATCGAATATCATGTATACGTACAAATGGTTATTTAATTGGTATGGCATTAAGACAACGTACTACATATCAATGGCGTGTTGATTTATTTGATTATGTTACAATGACACGTACACATCGTGGTTTAACAATTGGTTATGGTATTGGTGCATTTAATTTTGTTGAACGTTGTATGTTAGCACCTGTGGATGATCATCAATGGCTTATTATAGCTGGATGTGAAGTTACACCAAATGCATTAACATTAATGGATGATCGAACAGGAGAAATAAAACAAGTTGAACGACAATCAGATCGACAAGAAGAATTTATATCAAATATTTGTACTAGTGAAAATAGTAAACAACAACAGATAATTAGTATGATTATTATAGATAATCAAAGTGGTCAACGTCAGATGCATATTATGCAACAACAAGATTAAGATTATTATTTTGATTCTTTTTTTTGTTTTTTTTTAAATATCGTTTTATTTCGTTTATAAATAGAGAGATATAAAAGATAAAAAACTAATTATTGTCAATTATGCATTTCAAAAAGTTTGGTATCTTTTCATTGACACATTTTATTCCGTAGTATTTTATGAAGAGAAATGCAAATTTAACTTTGTATCAGAGAAAGTTATTCCAATAATAGAAATAAGAACAAAAATCAATAGTTCATAAGATAGTAGCAACAAAATATTATTATTGTGATATTTTACTAATCTTATTAAAATATTCATCTAGTGACAAAAAAAAAATATTTATATCGTTTCATTAAATCAAGAACTCGTTGATTTCGAAAAATAATTGTTTTATTTCATGAAGACTTATGTATACTGTTGTCAAATCGTTTCATCGTAGCCATGTTAAACGCATAATCTTTTTTTTTAATTCATCAATCACTACGTATAAGCTTGAATTGGAGGTGACAATATTTACATTAAGTCGGTAATGACAGTTCTGCAATCTTGGTGTGGATGTGAGAGTCGAGAAGCCAAATATCTGCACCTGTATTCACTAATCGAATGCATTTTTCTAGCCTTTCTACTGAGGATAGTGTTCGTTTTAAAAATGTCAGATAATGTCATTACTGTTTTGTTTATCTCTCTCTCTCTCTCTCTCTCATGCAAGATTCCTTCATTAACAGTCTTCAAATTGTTCAAAAAAATATGCTGATAAAACAGAAAGACATCATATTTGGAAACGCGTTCCTATTGGACTACAGGATGAGTCATCATACTTATTTATTTCGTTATGCATCAATGGATATCATGTATAAACGCCTGCATATGCATACACAATTTCTATTGTAAATCATGAGTGACAAGGAGCCACCACAAGAATTAAGTGCTGAACGTCGTACTGAATATGAAGAAGCATTTATATTATTTGATAAAGATTGTGATGGGTTATTAAATTCTTCTGAATTACCATTACTTTTACGTAGTCTTGGTCAATCAATAACTGATGCCGAAATAGCAGGTGTCCTTCAACAAGCTAATCTTGATCCACGTGGTAAATTTACAGCATTAGATTTTTTAAATTTAATGGAACAACGAGCAAATACACTTAATAATGATACATTTGAAAATGAACAAGATGTACGTGATGCATTTCGTATGGTACTTGATCCGAAAGGAACAGGTACAGTAGCTGCAGATGATATTATGAATCTTTTACAAGTTTTTGGTGAAGGTGGAGCTTTATCACAACAACAAATATGGGAACTATTAGGTACAGCTGATAGAGATAATACAGGACGAATTAATTATGAAGAGTTTATTAAAGCAATGACTTCTAATTAAAATTATTTAAGATTTGTTAAAAGAAAAATTTGAAATAAAATTATATTGAATTTTGCTTTTTCATTTGTCTAAACAGATTATTATAACAAAAGAATCATTCAATATTAAAATGTAAAATAGAGTTTAAATGAACATCCAATCAAATGTTTATTAACCTTTTGATTTAATTAATCTTATTGAAAATCTGTATGTATATATCATATACAAAACTTTCGCATTTGTTTCTTATATGTTTAATAAAGGTTCAAGTTTAATATACTGTTCTACATTAACAAAAATTTTTTCTTTCATTTCTATTCACATTTCATTTCGTATCACGACCAATATCTTCATTCCAAATTGAAGGATTTTCCTTAATATAATTTTCAAGAAGTTTGTGACATTCTTTCGAATCAAGTACATCAATATGTACATGGTTTGATTTAAGTAATGTTTCATCACCAAGAAATGTTTTATTTTCACCAATTACTACTCCTGGAATACCATAAAGACGAATAGCACCTGAACACATTGCACACGGAGATAATGTTGTATAAAGTGTACATTCTTTATAAAATGCTGCTGTTTGTCGTCCACCTGATTCAAGACAATCCATTTCAGCATGTAAAATAACTGAATTACGTTGAATACGACGATTATGTCCACGAGCAACCACTTGATTATCTCGAACAAGAACACATCCAATTGGTATACCACCTTCGGCAAGACCAGCACGAGCTTCAGCTATAGCTTCAGCCATAAATCGTCCATGAACCATAGGTGGTACATAAGACCTTGACATATTTTCTTCACGTAATCCACGATGATAAGTGGCAGATGAATTAGCACGAGAAGTTTTACGTGTTGGAATAATGGATTGTTCGTCAAGAGGCAATGAACCAGCAAAGAGTGAATTAGCCATTATTTTTTATATAAAGATATAAAATGAATGTTGAGTGAAATATCATACAAAGGTCTTTTTTTTATCGACAGATAAAAAGGACAATAGTCACATGATACAACCATAACAACCAATAGATAAGTTTGCCTTTCATGTTCTATACACTATTTGTGTAGCAGGACTTTTAAAGTTGCACTTCACGATCATATATTGTCAGCACTTGAATAATAGATAAACATAAAAGTCAAAAGATTTTTCTGGTTGAAAAACAATAATAAAACAACTTCATATTTTCTAATCCACAATCATTTTAATTTCAATCAATTCACTATATGTAGAAATAAAATAAGAATGACCTACAATAGAGTTGATTGTTGATTTGTCTTCCTTTCGTTCAAATCAATTTATCAAACACATGACGTCCACGAATCATTCAGAAATAATTGTTTTCGTATTTTTAACATTCTCCCCTCCGTTGATGGCAATTTCGTAGACCAACTGACTCCACTGAAAAACAAGCATTGCTGACCAGTAATAGATACATTTTTTTTTTTGAAAAATTCTTATAATCGTAGAATATTTTCACGATTTACTGAAATATGCCAAATTTATAAATATAGGGTCTTCAAATAGATTGTATTGGTTGTAGAGATACTTACCTTGCCATCTTACGACTTCTTATCCAATTATATGCATTATTGCAGTGCAAACATCGTAGTTTCCTTTTCTGTCTTTCTCTGATAAAATCATGTATGTTAGATAATAAAGATATAAATTGTAATGAAAGTATATTGTTTAAACTAAGGTGCAGGAAATTCAAAACGTTCACGCATCATCAGATTTTTTTTGAAACATACATCGTTGGATAGAGTTTGAGGAGTAGATTCCGAATATCTACTTGAAATTGAATTTTGATCAAGCTTTGGCTGAGAAATCTTGAAAATACTAAGCAGCAGTCAAAAAGTGAACTTTTCACACTTTTCTAGAAAACTGAAGATTTCACCCTGAAACCTTGTTCGAAACTCAACTTTAATTACATATTCGGATTTAGCATAAAAGACTGAGTATATCCAAGTAGTAGAGAAGTAGATTTCCTTAAAACCATGCATTAAGGAATTTTTCTAACAGACAAAGGACGAATGGTGACACCTCTTCGTCCCAAACCCTTCAAGTCTTGTGTTTTAAGAGCTTTCTTGGACTATTATATACCATTCGAACCGCCAATCGAAGGCGGACAAAACTATGTATGGGTATCGCAAAATATTGTTTCCTTGCTGAGAAAATCAATTATTTCGAAATCGATGACAAAATGCTAAGGAATTGCACTCGTATTTCCAAATTTTGACCATCAAAAAATGGCTTTCGAATGAAATAAACATGATATTCAGAATCAGCATAAAAAACTACATCGAACAACATATATTTTATCAAAAAATATTTTTCCTCAAAATTCGCCCCGTGGGGGACCACAGGGCAAAAATTGAGTAAAAAACAGCTGAGGGGGAGTACAGGACGGATTTTGGCCCAAAATACTTTTTGATAAAATATATGTTGTTCGATGTAGTTTTTTATGCTGATTCTGAATATCATGTTTATTTCATTCGAAAGCCATTTTTTGATGGTCAAAATTTGGAAATACGAGTGCAATTCCTTAGCATTTTGTCATCGATTTCGAAATAATTGATTTTCTCAGCAAGGAAACAATATTTTGCGATACCCATACATAGTTTTGTCCGCCTTCGATTGGCGGTTCGAATGGTATATAATAGTCCAAGAAAGCTCTTAAAACACAAGACTTGAAGGGTTTGGGACGAAGAGGTGTCACCATTCGTCCTTTGTCTGTTAGAAAAATTCCTTAATGCATGGTTTTAAGGAAATCTACTTCTCTACTACTTGGATATACTCAGTCTTTTATGCTAAATCCGAATATGTAATTAAAGTTGAGTTTCGAACAAGGTTTCAGGGTGAAATCTTCAGTTTTCTAGAAAAGTGTGAAAAGTTCACTTTTTGACTGCTGCTTAGTATTTTCAAGATTTCTCAGCCAAAGCTTGATCAAAATTCAATTTCAAGTAGATATTCGGAATCTACTCCTCAAACTCTATCCAACGATGTATGTTTCAAAAAAAATCTGATGATGCGTGAACGTTTTGAATTTCCTGCACCTTATATAGATATTGTTCACTTTGATTTCGCTTGTGTGTATAATATTTTCACATTGTCTTGCTCTGGATGTGATACCAATGAATCCTGAAAATATTGATGGGTAAGATACATGATATTCAAATAAGAAAGAAAAAAAATGCGAAGTTAATATCGTTCTCTGTGATTCAAGCGGTGTAAAAGATATCGTTTAACTGTTTGTACGACTGACGAATTTACTACCGGTACTTATCGGTTATAGCCAGTTTATCGCGATTACACGCCGTTTTTTTTGTATAATCTATATTGTATCAGTACCTATGGCGCTCCTAAAGATCTATCTAAACATATTCTTTGAAACTTTTACCCATTTTACATTAAAAAAATGTACGAAAAAATTGAACGAATACTTTTAGTTAGAAGATGCAACAAAAAGCTAGTTCATCAGACACTTTTCAGCAGAACTTTATCGTCAAGTAATAGATATTTTGAAGTTGAATCTTTAGAAAATAGACCTAACATTACAAGAAATTAACTATCAGTAATATTCATCTCTACCGTAAAAATAAAATAAATGCATCATATTTACATTTGCATAAAAAATTATAAAAATTATTTAAAGGTAGAAAACTTCTGAAAACAAGAACTAGATTGGTGAATACAGATTAGAATATAATAATTGACCTTAATAGTTTAAAATAATCTTACAATATACCAATATTTTAGACAAATCAATATTATATTATACTTGTCTACTCTACAGTCAGAAAAGAAACCGAAAAACATAACGCATAATCGAAATTATGGAAGTCTTTTGACTACCGAGAAAACTTTTGAAATACCATCATTCAGAAAATTTGTTTCTCTATTTCAATATATATTTATTATTCTCATAATTGTTGCATTAAGAAAACAAAACATCATTTTCAATAAAAATCATCTTATCAGCTCATTTAACTATAGAACCCGACTAAGCTACAGAATCTAGATCCTTTAGTTTGCCAGCAAAATCATTTCATTCATGACCTGTCAAGAAAAACACACAAACCAAAATAAAATTCATGCTCATCTAGCTTAAAATTAGTGTTTATTTCTTCAAATAATGATCAGCATATTTTTAATTGAGTGAACATTCGCCTTATCTTTTGCCCTTCGTCGTGTTATCATTAGTAATATTAAGAAGATCCCAGTTCTTTTCTTCTTTGATCAGATGATTACCGAACAGCTATGCATTGTTTCTATCAGTATCTGTTTAAGAGAACAAAATGGCTTGGACATTAAACGATTATTTCTCTTTTACACAATTATTTTTCTTTTATTTATCGATATTTAACAGAATAAGTTATTCTAGATGATAGTGAACAAACCATAAAATTACAGCAACTCTAGACGACTTTTATTCATACTTAAATGTTTGTTATTCTACCGAACAATTATTATTTCATTTCGATTATAATTATATTTTATCTATTGTTTATATTAGAATACCAAACTTGTCTTATGATTTTATAATTATATTCATTGACATTCTATGAAAATACTTTCTATTTTTTAAACTTATGTTTTAAATGTAAAAGAAAAGTAATGGAAAAATGAAATGGATGAAAACAATTCTTTTTATTATTTACTTTGTTCGATTGCTGCCATGAGAATGTGGCATGTAAAAAGAGAGAAAGAATGTGTGTATATATGTCTATGAGAGTGTCGCAATCAAATGGCATATGTCATTTATTATTTCGAGACAGTTAAATACGTACGTACATTTCTGTCATGAACGGTAAGATAGTAACAACTAAATGTTTAACGAAAAAAAACTATGACATATGCATTATTGTAGAAGGAGCAGCTCTTCGAGTGCTTTCATTTCTGAACGATTCAAGTCAACGTCATGTGGCTTCTATAGTTAATGAAAAACGAAAAGTAACTGTGATTGGAGAGGAGCATGAACCAGATGAGATTGTATGTATTTTTTTGGTTGATTATATCTTTGAAATTTTCTGTTTTACTTTTTTTGTCTCCTACCCCAATCGATTGAAGGAAGAAGAAGAACCTTCACCAACTGTTATTGATGCAGAAGGAGCTCTTCTTACTCCCGAAAAAATCAAGGTTAAAAAAAGAAGAAACATAGACTTCATCAATTGATGAAAAGAAATAATATTTTTTTAGGAATTTTTTAAAGCAATTGAAGAAGGTTCGATTGAAAGGCTAGATGAACTGTTCGACACAACAGCGAATGCCAATCCTAATATGACACAAGTAAGCAAAGAAAATTATATTGAATTCAATTTTACGTATTGACTAGTGCAAATACATTCTATCATAGTATACTGAATCACTTCTAATGGCCGCTATCCGTGCTAAACGGTATAAAGTTGCTGAATATCTAATTGATCAATTAGGAATAAATGTTAATCATACGACTAATCATCTTGAATTTCGTCTACAAACAAAAATTCCTGTTCGAGAACATATAATATCATGTCGTGATTTAGCTTATGATAAAGGTATGATGGATCTTGTTGATTTAATTGATATAGTCAGTGATGAAGTAAAACCAAGTATAAAACGATATTTACAACGACGTTTAAAAACGCGTCTTGATCAAATTCATCAATCATATGTAAAACGTATGAAAGAACGTAATAATCGTTTAATAATTCAATTACAAGAAAAAGAACCTAAAATATTAGAAGATGATGAACAAGAAAAAGAAAATGAAGAACCATTGAGTGCAAATATTAGTGATGATATTAATCTATTTCCACCAGCACCTCCACCACCACCACCACCAATTGTTCATCGTCCATATAAATCACATATTGAAGCAACAATTCGAAGTTTTGAATCGAAAAACGATAAATCAATTGATGAATCAGGAAAAAAATTTTTTCGATTTTCTGGTTATACACTTCATTATCGTCTTGTCGAAGTAGGAAATGCAAATCAACAAAAACAAGAACGATGGCGACCAAAAACAGCAACATTTTCTCTTCCAGTTATTCCGCTAACTTCTACACGAACATTACCACAACCACTGTCAAGACCAACGACAACAGCAACAACAACTAATGTTAATCGTCGTTCGGCTAGTGAAGTAAGCGCACGAATACCAATACGAGAAACACGAACATCCATATGTCGATCAGCTCGACGTATAGCCACACCACGTATTGCTCCTACAGTAACTTCAGAAAGTAAACCAGAAGTAACAATTAAACCCATAACTACGATCAATACTACTCAACGATTATTACCAAAACGAATTCCTCAAATCAACACAGATTTTAGTTACATTCCTCAACTACAAAATGCTGTGTACAATGATCCACGCCGTTTCATGCCTGTAACATTAAAAACAACTGCTACTGGTTTACTATCTGATACTCGACTAATCCGAGATTAAATGTATTTCTCTTCCAAAATAAAATATAAATTTGTTTAACGTTTCACTCTTGCAAATGTTCCATATAGTTTGATTAAGTTTTCGAAAAATTGAATGGCTGGTACATTGAATGATGAAATAGTGTTACATCAAAAGAGTAATTCGATATTTCAAATGATAATTCTAATGTCAAAATTTCTTCTGTAGACTTCACATCATTTGTGAACAAGTAGATATTTTTTACAACAACACATACGAAAAGGAAGTCATAATTTATTTAGTCAAGAAGAGAATGTTTATCAATCATGTATTTTTCACTATATATCCAAAAGAATGTCCTTGAGATTTTGAAACGATTTTAAAACTTATCGTTTTTTGCATAAAATAAGAGTAAACTTTTTGAAACTTTGATTGATAAATGTACAGCTGTAGTAAAAAATTCCTATATGGTTTGCAGCCGATTGTTTCTATGATGATGAAAAAATCTGAAGAGCATGATTATAGAATATTTTATTGCCTTCTACGTTAATTTTAACAAGTTAGAGACATTGTTCAAAATAAAAAAAGAGTATGTAGTAGATTATTAATGTTCATGGGTTTCATTTTCATTCTTATTCATAACTAATTTTAATTGTACTGATATTCTATCTATCATTCATGGATATAAAGAAACATTAAACTTTCATTCTTTTCGAATATTGTTTTTTTTTTAATTGTTCAATAGTATTGTATTTTCGTGCTCGTAATTCTAGATGTTAAGCAAACAAAGCTGTGAACACATTGTCTTTAACATTTTCATCATCTTGAAAGTTAGATTGCGTCAATCATTTAATTTTTTAGCTGTCTTTCTAGGACGATAATTTGAACGAGTTTTGCGTATTTCTTATCAGGTAATTTCATTCGTGCAAAGACAATAATAAATACTTAAAGAACGAACATTCTGTTTCAGTACGTGTTTATCTATTTGTCAATAGAATCAAAAATTGTCTTACTATTTTCGTATTATACTTTATCAATTCAAACGACTTGATAACTGATAAAATAAGACATAATACTGTTCGAAAGCTTTCTTCGTTATGATATAAGCTGAAAAATCTTAAAATTTCTAGTTTGTAAGGCTAAATCAGTGCAATAGTCCTTCAGATATTCAAGAATTTTTTCTTTTTATTCTATATAAAAACAATGAATATGAAAATCATTTCAGAACTTTTGAGACACCTTTTATAAACTTTTATCGTTGTTTTTTCTTTCGAATAGCGAAGTATAAAAAAAAATAGTTGTCTTATTAACTTTGCATAAACTCATAGAGTTGCGTGTTAAGATAAATAATATATTCATGTGTAATCATATTTAATCAATTGATTTCGATATGAAATAAATATATATAATATATTACTAGTATATAAATATTCAGCAGTACTTTGTTTTTCTATTAATTCATGATATTTAAATTTTGTTGCATTTAAATTTTTTTTTCATTTTTATTAATGTAAAAAGTGCCACAACAATTGTTAAAACGTTGTTGTTCACCAAATGTTAATGGTCGTAAACATCATTGTTTTGATGAATTCAATGCATAGCGATCACATGAGATCGTAAGTTTTCCCGTTTTCAGGATATCATAAATGAAACAGCTATAAGAAAAATTTCATGCTTTGAGCAATAAATGCAGAAAATAGATTCTAATACAAAAATTATGTGTATATTTTCAGATTTGGCTTACGATAGATGAGGGAATTTATTTTAATGAGAAAAATATTTTGCATAAAATGAATTTTCCTATTTAATTCAACCACAAAGTAGCCATTGTCTTCCTTGAATTGTAGGTACAAAAATTAATTCGTTTCAACATGTTATCCAGATGGATATCTTAGCTGAATACCAATCACTATGTAATTAATGCAGTGTAATCAGTTATTCTGAAAAAAAGAGCTAATTTTGTAAACCATTTTATGTTTGTGTGAGTCACTTTATTGTCAAGGATCAATTTAGAAGTTTCAGTTAGATCTAGAATCTGTTTATCTTGATAATTTAATATACATGTCAAAGTAGAGGAAAAGCCAACTTCAATCTGATGTAACTATCAATTGTATTAAATGAATAGTGTCACTTTGGTTGCGCTCTCCAATAGAAAGATTACATTTTGTGAGAAGATATAGGAACTTATTGAATAATGCCTAACTGTTAGACTTATCTTTCGATAGTCTATCGGACATTCCAACGAACGTTGAAAAATGAGCTCATAATCTCACTAGCATTCATGTCATAGAAATCTGCCAAATAGTAAATTTTCGAATAGAGATAGACTCAATGCAAATTCCAAAAGCACGATTTTCTTCGAAAGTAGGAGTGTCCGATTAGCATTAGCATTGCATTAATTAATACTTATTTTAATGCTTTTCTATTAGAGTTAAAAATTAACTTAATGCTTTTGCATTAGTGTTAATAAAAGAATTGGATACTTTGGTATTAGTATTAGGAAAGTATTAATCTAATGGTAACTCTAAGCATTACCGTTAGGTTAATACTTTTCTAATACTAATGCCAAAACATTAAGTGATTTTTTTTTCAACATTAATGCAAAAGCACTAAGTTAATTTTTTAACTTTAATACAAAAGCATTAGCATTTTCTTCACACTAATGCTAACTGGACACCCCTTTTCGAAAGCCCGAAATTCTACAGAAGGCTCTGACAGAAGGACATATTAAAAGTTCAATAGCTCTGTCAAATGTCAGTAAGTACTCAAATCCTTTTAAAGTTTTTACTAGACTATTATGTAGTTTTTATACACAAAACAATCATTACAATCGAAAAGAAACATTTTTGTACACTCAATCGTAAGTACCTCAAAAATCAGTAATTGATGTCTTTTATAAAAAATATAAAATAGTACTACAATGCAATAGAATTATAATAATCATGCATCAGTATTAAATTCGTTTTAATACAAAATCAATGAATATCAATGTCGATCACTTGATGAAAGGTACTCTTTATATAATTACGATATTTATAGTTACTATAAATAATACTATTCAAAGAGCGAATAGTATTCATAAGAACGGATCTAAATCAAAAGAAAATGAAAATTTATTGTAATCTTTTCGGCTTTAGTATTATTCGTTCAATTGTTATTGAATTAAATCCTTCAGATGAAAATTTCGCTAACAAATAAATACATTGTTTATCTACACATATCACTTTTGAATATTATCAAGTCATCCTAATCATACATTTCAAATGCATATTGACAAGTTGGAGATGATTTACTGTGATACTTTTCACTTTTAACATTGGTTATAAATGGATAAAATTTCCATTTACAGATAATGCACCAAATAACAGTGAACTCATCATATATGAAAGATGTCCTTTCTTCTACTAGTCAATTCAATCAGTACAACAACAACAACATTAGCAGCAAAAACACAATGACTAGAAACAACATTACCATCCCTTGTAACAAATGGTTCGAAGGAGTTCTATTATTGAAAACACAAATTGAATTAATACGATGGCATAGGACAGGTAGTTTTGCTTTTATCGTTGTTAGATTCGTAGTTCTAGCTAATGTGTATGTTACTTTTTTTTCTGTATCTTTTAATTTTATGAAATTGATCTTATGTTACTGAAAACTGAGATGTCCAAAGGTGGGCTGAATAAATATATACATTAATTTGATCACAAATATAACATTTCGCAATGAAAGTAAAATGCCAATATGTTTTTGTCCTTTCAGTTTCTCTTTCTGTCTAATCGCCATATAATACTTTTCTTTCGTGAATAATATGTCACAAGCGAATACTGTAATGCCCGAATTTTGCATCCATGAAGAATAAAAAAAAGTGATATGCAAGTGGGACCAATGAAAAAAAGACTCGGATTAAGTTGTTTGTGGATATATAACGTTATCGCAGTTATTCACAATCTTGATACTATAATCATTAAAAAATATCCTTTATAAACGAGTATATATATTCGATAGCGTAATACATCAACTCACAAAAAAATGCAAGGTCATATTCTCGTCTTTTTGTTGCTTTCCATAACCTTCACAGAGGGAATTCTTTTCAGTTGTAAGTTTATCTCTTTTTAATTGTAGGTTTTCTAAAAATTTTTCGTTTATAGCAAAACCAAAATGTCCAATTAAAGTATATAAATCAAGCAAATATATAACAGGAAATAAATTATTGCTTCATGAAAATTTTCATGATCGTGTTAAACCTTTAGAAAATGTGGCAAAAGATTGTAAAGTACATTTATATATTAAAGAATCATATTATCAATTAAGAGATCCAGCACAACAAGTCTTAGTGTCTGAAGCTGATATGGTCATTGGTCATGGTTTTCAATTCGAACTTCGAGATGAAAATAATGCAGTTTTATGCAATAAAATATGTCTTTCAAAAAGTATGATAAAGACTAAATTTTGATTCTTTAACGCAATCGTTTTTTTTAGATCCAATGGATATGCCAGAAGTGAAATGTTTCTTGCAAGGTGCAATTAATCGTGGTTTGATATGGTCACGGTATAATACAGATGTTTTGAGTGATGGTACATATGCTTCAAATACAGTTGGATATCAAGCATTAAAAACAGACATTCAAACAAGATGTCAAAATGAAAAATTAAAACGACAACTCTTACGAGCACTTCGTAAGATGCATGAAGAAGATGAAGAGGAGAAGAAGAAATAAATCCGATTTTAATTAAGACTAGACTCCATTTGAATCTCCTATTATATTTCATTTCTATTTTGATTAATCATTTGATATTTAAGAGAATAAAATTTTATAGAATGTCATTCATAAATATTGCTTTTGTTCGCGTTCTGAATGTTAAAAGATTAATGCATATGTGATAATTTTTTCGTGTATGTTCTTACAAATAAATCATCATAAATCTCCATCGGTTCTTTTTTAATCTCTGATTTATTTTGATATAAGTAATATGATGAACATAAACCAGATGTATGCGAGCAAGTTCAAACTGAAAATCGGTTTCTGTATAAAACAGAA